CAGATACCAGACACCAGATACCAGACACCAGATACCAGACCAGATCCAGATACCAGACACCAGACACCAGATACCAGACATCAGATACCAGATACCAACATCAGATACCAGATACGATACCAGATACCAGATACCAGACACCAGATACCAGATACCAGATACCAGACCCAGATACAGATACCATATACCAGACACCAGATACCAGACACCAGACACCAGAAACCAGATACCAGATACCAGATACCAGATACCAGATACCAGACACCAGACACCAGATACCAGATACCAGATACCAGACACCAGATACCAGACACCAGAACCAGATACCAGATACCAGACACCAGATACCAGATACCAGACACCAGACACCAGATACCAGACACAGATACCAGACCAGATACCAGATACCAGAACACAGATACCGATACCAGATACCAGATACCAGATACGAGATACCAGATACCAGACACCAGATACCAGACACCAGATACCAGACACCAGATGCCAGACACCAGATACCAGACACCAGATACCAGATACCAGACCAGATACCAGACATCAGATACCAGACACCAGATACCAGATACCAAACACAGATACCTGATACCAGATACCAGATACCAGATACGAGATACCAGATACCAGACACCAGACACCAGATACCAGACACAGATACCAGACACCAGATCCAGATACCAACAGATCCAGATACCAGATCCAGTACCAGATAGATACCAAACCAGATACCAGACACCAGACACCAGATACCAGACACCAGAAACCAGATACCAGATACGAGATACCAGATACCAGATACCAGACACCAGACACCAGACACCAGATACCAGATACCAGATACCAGACACCAGACACCAGATACCAGACATCAGATACCAGACACCAGAAACCAGATACCAGATACGAGATACCAGATACCAGATACCAGATACCAGACACCAGACACCAGATACCAGATACCAAACACCAGATACGAGATACCAGATACCAGATACCAGCCACCAATACCAGACACCAGAAACCAGATACCAGATAAAGAGATAACAGATACCAATACCAGATACCAGACACCAGATACCAGACACCAGATACCAGACACCAGATACCAGACACCAGATACCAGATACCAGACACCAGATACAGACATCAGATACCAGACACCAGATACCAGATACCAAACATCAGATACCTGATACCAGATACCAGATACCAGATACGAGATACCAGATACCAGATACCAGACACCAGATACCAGACACCAGATACCAGACACCAGATACCAGACACCAGATACCAGACACCAGAAACCAGATACCAGATAAAGAGATAAAGATACCAAATACCAGATACCAGATACCAGATACCAGACACCAGATACCAGATTCCAGATACCAGATCAAAGATGCCAAAGGATAAAAAATGATTAGAGATAGTTATCGCTAGCATTGCATTAGCATACCAGCAACTGCGCTACGTGAGGTTTTAAATAAAGACATCAACGTACAATATTTGGCATAGCGTTAGCATGCCAGAAACTGCGCTAGTCGACTATATTAAGCGGTGATCGATTGTTTTTTTTTAAAAGGTCACGTGACGTTAGGTCGGCGTGCGACGTCGACGCGGTTTTTCGCGGTTTTTTAGGAGGTTCGCGAAACGTCCGGAAGGAAAGAGGTACCGTTTCGGAAAGTAGAAACTCGGCGCTTTACGGGGGGCGAGAGCCGTCGCGGCGAGACGAACGGATCGGATCGAAAACGGCCGGTAAAGTCGAAAAATCGACCGTTTTTCGGACGGTACGCGGCGTTATTTCACACTGGTTTCGCCGTTTATCGAAATATCGACTCGAGATCGGTCTCGTTCGATAGCTAAACGAAAAATACGGCCTATTAGCTAAATCTGTTCGGTTCCGCGTCGGTTTTTTTTTAGAAATGTTAAAAAAAAGCGACAAAAACGAATCGCGAAAAACTACGATATCTCCTTATGCCGAAGAGAAAAGGAATTTCGCGCGCCGCGTTTCGTACATCTCGGCGAGCGCTACAAATTACGCGGAGAGACGTTTTTTCGTTTACGGTACCCGTTCGAATAAACGAACCTCGAACGTCGTCAAGAATGACTTTTTTGCTATAAAGCGCGCTTTCGCCGTCAGCTATCTCCTCCGAAGATAAAGATACGAACCTGACGATTTTTGCGTGAGAAAGCCCGCTTCGGACACTCTTTTAATCTTTTTCATCATATTCGTTTACGTTGAAAAGTTTCGATTTTTTAAAAATTCCTCGACAATACGCTACTTTCGACGTGAAAAAGTCACTTGTCATCCGGCTCTGTCTCGCTATTACTACCGTACGTGAGCGAGTAAAAATTATACAGCTATCGAAAAATAACGATAATGAGCTGACGAAACGATTCTGACCGTCAGAATTACCGTCAAATTTCGAAAAAGTAAACTTTGAGCGCCTCAAAAGTACCGATGACAACCGTTTTTCGGCGTACTTTGTCTTCGTCGATACGGACCTGCGTTACGGAGCGACGTAGCTACGATTTTTTTTCGCAAAACGAAAGACCAAAGTCTCCTGATTAAACCGACATACGACACGTTACCCGATCGCATTTTTTAAACTCGGCAGATTAGAAAATTCAAAGATATGCACACATTTTTAGTTTGACGTTTCAATTTTGAATTTCCCCTCCAGATCCCCGGATTCCTGTTAGGCGGGGTATTGTAGATACGATCGTATTACGAAAGCGAGCGAGTGCGAGCGGAACGTCAAACGTGCCATTTTCGGCTTCATGTCGGTCGCTTCATCCAATATTGGATCACGCCAAATAGAATTGTCCTTTTTTCGCGTGAAAATCAACATTTTCGAAAAGATTCAAAATTTCTATATTCCATTGTCTAAACGGACCGGACTAGAGCCATTAAAATCGGATGAATCTAGTAGTTTTTTATTTTGACAGATTGCGATGTTACCGCCAAGGCTGCAATTATTCTTTGACGTTCATCAGTTTATTGAAATCATCATCGGTTTATAAATACGATAAAAATATGATTGTAAGCCCCTATTCATGTTATAATTTTACAATATGGCATAAAGCTCCGCTTTTCCAACCGATTGATATAAAGCGTATGTCTGATTGCATCACATTGCATCATTCTAACCTACAATGTATATGAATGTAAACATTATCGAAATCTTAATAATGAGGCTCCCGTTAATAAGGATTAATTAGAAGCTTAGAACAAGCAATCGCAGCTACAAATAGTGAAAGTGTTGTGAAGTGTTTTACAGTTATGTATTTCTATTGCAAACGTAAGTAGTCAGTCACTTCTATGAAGTTCAGTAAGAGTTCAGTCTTGACCCTCAGTTCAGACCTATTAGCTGGCTAACAGTGGCACATATTATCAAGCAGATGAAGGAATATGCAAAGCGCTGAAAAATAGCATTGATAATCATATCTACTACCAAAGTTTTCAAAATTACTAAGACTTTCACAGCCACTGCAGTTGTTTATTTTGATCTCAATGCAGAATGT